GCCATTAAAAGCTTCCCTGCCATCTCCGAAATCCCATGCATGTAATGCAGAACGGATGTTTTCTTTACCGTGGCGCTTGTGGTGGTTGATTTTTCGATTTCAGGCAGCGCAAAAATAGATTTTTTAGGGTACGAATTCCGCTGGGAGATCTTTGCTAGCCGGCAATCCTCCACTATCAAGCAACTTTACTTCATGCATGAATGTATGAGGAAACAAGTCCTACAAGCAAGTATACATGACCGCCCGCCCATCAACAATCCTTCGAACAACATGGACGACGAATGCTACGTCTGCTTATCACGGATGCACACAACCGATTGCAAAAGTATCAACGTGAATGGACCAACAAAAGGAGGTATGTTTATCCAACATTGGAGAACAGTTAACCAGAGAGCTTGGGAAAGCAGTAGCTATGAGAAGTCACAAGACGAAGTTTGAAAAAAAGCAAAAACTAACGAGGAAGCTGGACAGAATGTCACAACACATACCAGTAAATGAAAATGTCTGGATTAAGAATCTATCCAAAAGAACCCTCTCAAAAGCAGAAAGAGAAGTCATTTTGCGAGATCTGCAATTCAGTTACATTCAAATCCCATCAATTTCACTGTCGCACTTGAGTCGACGCTGGCCACATGCAACATAGCGGCGGAAGCTCAAGATGTAATTAGACACAGCATCATCCCCCCTCGGGGTCACAAAGTGGAACAAAAAGCACTGACAAGCCTCCGAAGTGGAGACGCTATTGTTATATTACCGGCCAACAAGGGACGTCTTACTGTGATAATGGAAAATGACTACATGAAGAAGGCACAAGAACTGCTCGGAGAGGTAAACATCTATCAGCCGATAAGTGAAAACCCTACAAAACATCTGAAAAGTCAGATCAAACGAGCCCTTCAGAGAGTATAGCAAATGTGAAAGATCACGAAGTTAGAACACATCAAGATGAAACCCGGGGATTCGGTAATACCACCGTTCTACGGCCTACCCTACACAAAGATGCGGTACCGCTTCACCATATAGTGTCATTACCAAGGGCACCAAAGTATAAATGTCTAAGGAACTCTGGAAACGGCTGAAATATCTAATCGCAAACGCTGAGCATTCAATCAAATCAGAAGAGCAATTTCTTGGAAAACTCAAGGGAATAACAGTAAAAGAGACGAGATGATGGTATACTTTGATGTTACAGCTTTGTTCATATCGATCGACATGAAGCTGGCAAAGCAAACAATGATGACCCTAAATGAACAACACGGGGCAGAAAATTCGAGCAACAGAATTAGAATCATCCAAATGATGGAGTTGCTTGATTTCTGTCTCACAATACACTTCACTTTCAATAGTCAAATGTACCAACAGATAATGGGCATGACAATGGGTTCACAAAGCTCTGGACTGGTGACCGAGGCAGTGATGCAAGCACTGGACCAAAAGCCACTGTCGATGGTGAAGCCCAAACTTTGGGTACGTTACGTGGACGATACTTTTATCATCCTCAAACGTTCCAGACTAGAAGAAACACACCATCTAATCAATAACATTTCCCCCGGCATCCATTTCACCAAAGAGGAGGAGAACAACGACCAGCAGTTATGCTTAGACGTGTACGTGAAAAGACATGTTTCCGGGACCTTGGAAACAACAGTCTATCGAAAAGCGACGCACACTGATCAGATCTTAAAATACCACAGTAACAATCCAGCCAATTACAAGCGCAGTTGCGTGAGGACACTTATCAAACGGGCCCAAACACGCTGTGCCAGGTTGCAGCTGAGGAAGACCACCTATTTAATATGTTCCGGTGGAATTCGTACCCTAAAACATTTATTTTTATGCTGCCTGAAATCGAAAAATCAAACACCGCAAGTGCCACGGAAAAGAAAACATCCGTTCTACCTTACATGCATGGGATTTCGGAGATGGCAGGGAAGCTTTTAATGGCTCACGGGATCAACGTTGCACATGAAGCAACAGAAACTATTCGGAGTAAACTTTTCAGGGCAAAAGACCAATTGAGTAGAGAAGAAACAGCAGGTGTGGTTTACAAAATTTTCTGCATAACTTCTGACAAGTACTACGTGGAGCAGACAGGGAGGAAACTTGGCACAACATTGCATGAACACAGTCGGGCTATCCGCCGCCATGATGAAAAATCACTGATGTCAGTATATAAGGATGCCGAAAGCCATCAGTTCGATATGGGGAATGCCAAGATACTTGGAAGAGCCAAGAACCGCAGAGCGCGTGAGTTTCTCGAGGCCTGGCATTCGGACCAGGACTCAAGCAAATAGCATCTAGAACTCGACGGGGTCTACGAAGCTCTGCAGGTGAGGTCAAAAATAAGTACCAGATCGACAGGGCGTAGACGTGGCCACTTGGCCGACCCACGTGATCCAATCGAAGATACATTCAAAGCAGGAGACGATCAATAGTCACTTGGATCTGGCAGTGGCTTACGGGACTCTGTAAATCAGGCCTCTATAGCCGCACTGAGGATGTTGCCTAGTTTGGCAACGAAACGTCTGCAACCAAATTGCGTAGCTCGGAGAACACAACAATCCTCTCACAAACTTGTCGTGCCGGATGTGAAGCGAGTTCTCCACCCACTGTGCTTCAAACGGAAAGTTGTAAAGATTTGGAACAGTTTGCCTGAACATGTGATGGAGGCAAGATCCGTGCAGTATTTCATAACGTTGTTGGATTTATATTTTACCACCATTCGATTCAGAGAACGACTGCACATTGACGATGATAACTCATATTTGTGAGTCCTGCGATACCGCGAGTCAGATATTTTTAATGTTACATGAGAAGGATAACGATACTCACGGCTGACAATTTGTAAAACGTTTTTCATCATATTTCGAAAGGGTTGTATAGAATTCATTTCTACCTGCTCTATAATACGGTATTCACTATTCAACTACGGTTGCAGTGGTCGCATTAACCAAGCTGCACTGCAATGTGAATCGCGGTCCGCAGTGAGAGTGCGTGTCGCCATCCAACCGCGCAATGTGTAGTCCAAAACTGATCCTCCAATTAGTCAGTAACCGTCGTGACAAGCGTTACCTCATGACCCGATAGTCAAATGGGTGGAGGTTTCGGCGCTGGTAAAGGAAGACCTGACCGTGACGACCAACCACTGTTCTCTGCACGGCAGTGGAGGATGGGTCGGGCTATATCACAGTTAGGTTTCAATTCGTAATGGTCGGCTGTCGTCCCCCATGGCTCAGTGGCATAAGCTGCTGGCTAGTTGGCTTTAGCCTCTAGCAGTCATGGGTTCGATCCCCAGTAGGTGACCGATGAATGCGCACCATCAACGAGCCCCAATAGGTCGAAACGCGCGTCCGGTGCTCTTCCGGATGGGTAGCTTACCTATGCGGCTTGGAATCTAATTGCGATGAACCAACTTGAATCATACCAAAATCCGTCTAACCATGCGTAATAATTCAATGCTCAGATTTGAGGCCTGCTATCTTCACCTGATGAGATCAAATTAATTGGAAACCGGTCGAAAAGTTCAGTGTTTCCGTGCGGATAATACCCAAAACTCATATATAACTACTATTGCTGTTAGTATTAATATTACCGTTCAACATTTTAAAAGTTGCGTGGAGCCGATCGAGAATTCGTGATTTCAGAAGGGTTTGAAAACAACCGGCTTGTATAGTTGGAGAGCAACGCTTCGTTTTTTGAAACAAAAGCTTCGTCAGTCCAAGTGAACTAGCGTGTGGTTGATGCAGCATTTATGGCAAACTGGAACAACAGACACCACGATGGATGTAGGATGCTAATCACATCAGAGGTCAAAGTATTATTATCTAAGTAGCACGTCAGAGATGGTAAGTTCCCAAGTGGTTCGTTGGACGAGGTCGTCACACGTAAGTCCCTGTCAGCGATGGGGTACGGGTAGTTTGATGTCTGCTCTTTGCTCCAGATCAGTCTGCCGACGATCCTCAAAAAGAACACCAATGTCTGTGCACATCTGGCAATCTCTAACACGTAACTATTCTATGCAGTGATTCCATTTCCCTCTCATTTCAATCGGTTGTTTTCAAGCCATTCTGAGGTCATTAATTCTCGACCGGTTCCAAACTTACTTCAGTATGGGGAATACTACTATCATTATTATTATTGCTGCTGCTGCCACCGCTGCTGCTTACAGTATTGTTATTTTGGTAAAGTGAATCAAGTCTACTGGTCTAAAGCGCGTCTCAGCGCACGAATCATTGTTGACAAGCCGAAGCAGACTGAACGTCGGTTCTGATTGACTTAAGTTTGGGTGCGTGTTTTGATGAAAGGACGCAAAGGCAATATGCATTTGAATTCACCAATATGTATATGTGTACAAGGATGTGAAGCGGAAAACTTCCAAAAAATTGCTTAATTACCTAATGGTATGCAGAGTTTAAAGAGGTAGGCATAACAGCCAAAAACATAATTGAGCGGAATAGTGTCAGAAAGATGTGTGGCTAAAAGGACGACGGGGGGGGATCACGTGTGAGCTGAGAGGAGATGAGCAGTGTAAGTAGCGGTGGGACAAGGGGAAACAGGTTCCGGTTCTTCGCAGAGTAGAGTGAAAGACGCAGGGGAAAATCGAAGCTTCAAATCAACCGATGCAAATGGATCGAAATTTAAAACCAGCTAGCATGAAAGCTCGAACACTTGGGCACATAAGTGGAGTACCAAACAGGGCCAGTACGACGGGGGGGGGACTGTTAAGTGAGCGGGGGAAGGCAAGGTCAGGAAAAGATTTGTTGCAGTGCTGATAACAACTCACAAGTTGCGAGTCGAACGTAGCTATACGGATAGCCACTTTCGCTCGAACGGGAAACAAATCCGTCGGGAGACGGACATACATTCGATAATTGACGTATAAGTTTATGTACAAAAGTTCGACCACAAGGGGCGATATATCGGACAAGAAATAACAATGAGATACATTACAGATAGCCAATCCTAATATCGCCGTGGACTTGACGGATACCGGTAAGGATTTAATTGTCAAGATATTGCGTCTCCACGTGGCTCGCCCAGTTCTCGAATACGTCGTTCAATGACCGAAAAGTAGGCCGGTTCTCGGGTCGTGCGTCCCAACACTTCAACATTAAATTGTACAAATCATCCGGGCAAGGGTGGTTCACGGTGTGAGGATTAGGCAGTCGGTAGCCCTTCTCCACCTCGACGATTGTCTGACGAGTGCTCATACCTGAGGAGGAGGAGAAAGAGAGGGGAATTAGTAACAGTTACAATCAGTGAAACGGTAGTACTGAGCACTTACCGCAACGACCTATAAGTCAGACACGCGGTCCCCAAACCTGGAAAACATCAAAAAGCTTTTCGGCTCATCAGTAGTGGTGAGTATTCATCAGGAACCGGGCCTGTGGCCTCTCGACAGTAGTGACTTGTGTCCCTAGCCAGCAGCTTATGCCACTAGGGCATGAAGGACGGCGGCAGAACAGCATGATCTATAAGCTGATTGCGATAGAGTGCGACTTGTTCCCCACTAACATGGAAGTTACAAAGGTTGCAGAGGACAATGTTAGCGTCTAGAGTAACGCCCTCTCACAAAAACAGCCATCAACGGCATTTCATTTATCCAGAAAAAGGATACACACTCGGCTAAGTGCGTCATTTAATCCGTTTAGCTGGAAGTCAAAAAACGCTCCCATATGTGGCGTGAGATGTATAGTTGTCGGCATCTGTTTTCAGAGTTGGCTGACCATGAAGCCTCCACAACGCATGCTTAGCAAGAACCCGCTGTCACTGATGGTGAAATCTAACCAACCATGGTGTCAGGGCCCTGTCCTACTCGAGCGACTGACATGCACATGATTTCCTCTGTGTTTGGTGTTGGACGGAGTTAGGGTTCAACTGATAAGTCCAGTAACCGCCTATAAGATAATGCGAATTCAGCCGACAGCTTGCTATATGTCAATCGCTGACCAGCTGTTTAGACAAACAATAAGGTTTTTCGGTCAGTCTGTTTCCTCACTCATCACCGGCAACGCATGTGTCACAGAAGTGCCCGAAACCTTGAGCAGGACTTTGGCAAACGGTAAAACTAAATCTGTCAGAGTGTTCTATGACTTTGATTGCAATTGCATTGGTGAAACATTACTGGCACAAGAGGTTCCTCAGTTCCATCATGTAAAATGAAGATAACGATAGTGCTAGCGAAATAGGTGTAAACAGACCAACCGGCGAAGCGGAAAGTCCTACCTCCGGGCATCTGCATTCTCAGCAACAAATATTCTCGAGCGATTACCGCTGTTAGATGGGAATGGCCGTGTTGAACCATTTCGCCAATCCTGTCTTCCGAAAAGGGGCGCCAGACGCTGCTAGAGGCGCCAACGATTCGTGGTTGTAGGTTCTAACTCAGATGGGACCGATAGTTTAGCACTATACACACACACATATATATATATATATATATATATATTCGAGGTCTGAAAACAGTAGATGCGGACCCAGGTGATGGTCCTGAGATCTGTTTAGCGCTTGTTAAAATATTACAAGGTTCCCGAGTTATGCTCGCTGCTAAAACAACAGTAGTATCGCCGACAGCGTAGGTAGTCTCGGCAGCAATAGTAGTGTCAGCGGTGATGACAATGTAGTGCGCTACGAGTAGGTACTATTACGGTAAAAGCAAGTAGTATGGCAAAGACAAGCACATTGGAATAGGACGTGTCCTCTATGGATCAAAGCAACAGCCCAGCACAACTCGAACGTACGGATGCCTCAGACGGTGTGCCAAGAAGAAACGCGGAAGCAGCACCCGACGAAGGCTGTGAGCAAAAGTGCGTCACAAGTGGTCGAAGGGAATGCACACTAAGGATGCTAGTTGCCCCAGTAAGCATAGTTGAACATTTTCAGTTTTTGGAGTAGTGCTACCTCGACTACTGCTACTACTATGACCACCGCGACAACTGCAACCGACTATTGTTACTACTATTGCTCCTGACAATATGAAGTATACTTAAATAAACAAATAAATAAAGTTGTGCGTCTTCCGACAAGCGGTGTACGACTCTAGGTGAGAAAGATCATTTGTAAACAGAAATAGCGTTACGCTTTTCGTAACTTTACACAAGAAAAAAAGTTTCAGGTCAAGAATTTTCTCAAATTCCTTTCTTTAACAAAGTTAATATAGTATTGGTTTCGCATATCAGCGACCCAGTCGTTTAGAACTTATTCAGTTGGCAAAAACGCTTGCCACAGATTTCCAAGTTACTGCATAACGAAACCCGGAGGTAGTCAAAGGTGAGGGAAGAAAATGGGTGGGACGTGCACCGTTTCATTATGCTGGTAAATAGAAAGGACGAATATGATGCATGTGGATTTCTAGTAGGTTAGATTCTGCTAATGTATCTGCACCTTGCTATGAATCAAACGTCATTGTCGGCATAGTGTGTTATTCGGAGTGTGTACATATGCAGGATCTGTATAGCGGGAGTTTATTCCACAGATAGATGCATCTTAATAAGAGGAAACTTGATCGGATGTTATGACTTGCAGGTTGTGAAGATGGTAGATAGCCCCCCATTATGAGTAAGATAGATAGTGGTTTTTGCAATGCAGGAGCCGTGCTGTCTGTGAAAACCCGCTTAGCTATCATATTGTTCCTCCGTCGTTGCAGTAGAATAGAGTACAGTTGGAGATGATGACAACGATCAGAGTAATTCAGGGTTGATGAGTGCTCCATGATCAGATTAGTAAAACAAACCATAGAACATCCTTCAGAGCTAATCTGTTTACCCTTCTTAGTTGGTTGGGAATGATGGTACAATACTTCAGAGTAGATCTTAGTGTGGCTTTTAATAGCTTACTATTAGTACACTACTACTACTACTACTGTTATTGAAAAGACTGTTTCAGAATGTTCCGTTGAAGTGTGCGTGGATTATACTATGGCTAAACAGCCAGAAACTATGAGCTTTAAGGACAAACTGGAGGAAGATCGTCAGTATTTAATGGAAACCAGGAAAAGTTCTGCAAAAGCGCCGTGTTAAGTGAGAATAATGCAGTATAGTCAAACTGAGTGTAGCCGTGTCTCACCCGGATACGGAGGACCACCGTAGGTGATAATCTCATACATCAGTATTCCGAAAGACCAAACGTCAGATTTGATACTGAAAATATGATGTAAAGCAGCTTCCGGAGCTGTCCATTTGATGGGGAATTTGGTGCCTGTTGGAGAGAAGGGTGAGGAAAGGGGCGTCAGAAAAATGTGACCAAACAGTGCGGAGAAGGCGAAAGAATCATACGGCAAATGTAAGGGTTAGGCAGGGGAATATAGAAACACACGGAGAACAGAACAAAAATAGGGAAATTATTGAAAAGTCGGTTTCAGTTATTGCATATTGCAGTGTGTAGAGTGGTCTGAACCAAACAACTTACGCACTAGAGACTGATAGAAATATACCGAAAATTTAGATCTGCGTTCGTTAGAGCTAAGGGACGTAAGGTGCTCAGTAAACCACGTACTCAATGGCGCAGGTGACAAAAGATAAGCGAGCATTTGAGGTACAGCATGAACCTCGTAGTGTGCCGAGTTAAACAACTCTACACAAATGCATGTACCAAAACCGCAATGACAATAATTGACGATCCAGACGAGTATGTGTGTGTGTGTGTGGCACGGAGGAAGTAACGGGTATGTTCAACAAAAAGAAAAATTTCGGTGTAATATGGATGACGGGAAAATGTGCATCGGTCGTTCAATCATGTGCATCCTGGGCTAAAACGTGATTTGAAGTTGTCTTAATAAATGCGGGGATAGGGCTAATGCTAACACCATGGCTCGCCCGCATAGGGATTGGATGTGAATTAAACACACCCACGAAACAGTGACAGTACAACAACAATTTGGACTGGGGCTTAGTTACGGTGTAACCACAGTGACCAAAGGAATGAGGACAAGTAAACAGGGAAGAATGTGCATCTAGTGTAGGATCAAAATGCCCTAAGCAAACATTCAGGGTCAAAGCGCCCATATCTTCTGTCAACAACATACCGTCACAAAAAGTAACATCAACGAGACAGCTTCCTTCAAGTTTTCACTGTCCTGCGTCATAATCAGTAATTACCTCGCAGATAACTCAGCATCAGATAGGATGTAAACGGAGAGCCCGACTAGGATACGACAGCACACATGATGCTGATGCGGACTGAGAACCATGTCCTGTAACGTCTCGATCCAAACACAAGGCGCGTCACGTGGACTCCAGCCTGGAAGGCGAAACGGATCCACAGCACCCAGTTTTGTGGTCAGTGATTTCATTTACCGCTAACAAGTTAACATTCATCCACTTCGAGTCTTGCGCCACACTATGCATGGCAAACAAAACAAGTCCTCCTTGGTGGGCGGTGGTCAGAAATACTTACACGTGCGCAACTGAGTGCAACTTATTCAGTGCTATACATAGTTCTAAGGAACTAACGAGATAATCACTTTCTAACATTCGCCTACGCAATATCATCGTTGCGGACACGCTGGTCCCGTCGGACGCCAGCGTTGCTCCGAAGGCAGCGGTGATCAAGGAGGTGGAGTCTCAGATCCTTACATCGAAGGGGTCAAACTTTGCTCTCATAGACTAGGACAACCATCACTGTGAACTCGTAAACACGACCCTTCAAATCGGATGAAACCCCATTTTGACATTACGTAAGTCAAGAAGACGATCTTACCTTTCACAATATGTGAAGTGACTTCTGTGATTATGTATTCATCGTTGCTGATGCAGCTGCCACGTATGTGAACTGATAAACTATTTCGCGTTGGTCGCCATCAATAATTAAGGGGTCATCAATTTGGCTGGTGGTCCCGCAACAACAATTTGCACTTTGAAGTTGTGAAGCGCATCCCAAATAAAGGGACCACTCTAGACAGGCGATGCAGGGTTGATTGTGCCGCCGCAACATCGTCGAAAAGCAAAACGATATCGTTCGCATAATCAAAATCAACTAGCCTTTCAACAGGCAGGACCTGGACAGTTACATCGTGAGATTCCCTGATGGAACACTCCATGATGGAGTCCAACAAGGAAAGTGAATAAAAATGGGGAAAATGGGCAACCCAGATGAACGTCATTTATTGTCGGGAAAATAGCTGATAAGTCGCCGCAGACCCTGACGTGACATGTGGTGTTCTAGTACAGGGCACTGCAAATGCGTACAACCAATACTCAGAGGAAAGGATGGGCGCAGTTAGTTCAATAACCACGTCGGAGTCATTGATTCCGGTCTCTGACAGGCAACACTCCTGGGAACAGTTGTGCAGTGTACGTGCAAGCGCAGCTTGCAGACCAATGCGTTTTAGGGAACGAATGTTGAACACAACTAAGATAAACAGAACATCGCGGTCTAAGGAGTGCTGCTGGAGTTTAGCTACGGATGGTAGAATTCCAATGATATTACAACTGTCATCAGTTAAGCTAAGGATTGCAGAAAGAATATAGCAACTGGAAGTAGAGAGATGGAGAGAAGGAAGGCATAAGTAGTAGTATGTTCGCTTCTGAGATTGCGACGACCGAAGCAAAAGGTGGAAGGAAATTCATGAGAAATTCATTTTATTCGGGGTAGTACGTAGGCTGAGATAATGCCAAGTGAACAGTTAGGATTCCCGACTATTGAGTAGGGTGTGATAATGGTACAAAATCCTAAGGTGTTATAAAAGTTGAACGTGGCCTTGGTCAAAAAAAAACGAGATCAGTCAAAAATGCGGACCGCCGTCGATGCAATTTACGTCTGTCCCGGTAGGATCTACGGCACTGCTGCTAATGAAGTGTCAAAGCAAGGCAGTGCTTTGCGTCGTGCAGTCCATCATTCATAGTTTGTTTACTGGAATCAGTTATGGATACTTTCTCAGCGGTTGTTGGAGGTGTGCCAGCCGATTGACGTCATCCCAGCGATCATTTGTCGCCCAGGTGCGCAAAAGCCCAGGCAGAGCAGATTAGTGACAACACCTACAGACCAGTATAAATTGCTTTTCCGATAACTGACAGGTGGCGTTTTGCACACAGCACACAAAAGGGAAAGTCGAACGGCACCAATTTTCGGTCAAGCTAAACTAGGACAACTAACTCATTTTAGCCCAGTGTGGTATAGTAAGAACTTCGTTTTCGCGATGAGGCCAAAAGGATTAAAAAATGGGGATGGTGAGATTCAAGAAAAGCTCGTACAACTCGACTAGGGATATAGAGGCCTCATTTGCCCGGACATTCCCTGATTCTAATGCGTTCTACAAGGAAGTCATCAAGAAACGTTCGAAGTGTCATAAAGCTAACCAGTGATAAAACTTTGTGCGATGCGCAGCGAAGGCAGCCAAATGTAAGGCGCAAGGGATGATACAACACGTGTCCTTTAGAACCAGTAAATTTAATAAAAAGGACACTGCGGAGGAGATTCACCGCAGCCTGATTTCCCAATAAGTAGTACCTACTTACCAAAAATATCCTGGTAAGCTCACTCATCGTCATCCTCGTATACCAGTTTTCTTTATTCCATCAGAGCAGGGAGCTGGACAAAATGGGACACCAATCTAACCATTTCCATCAATGTATTGGACTTAATATTCACATCGGTGATACCCAACCCATGGATAGTCTACATGACAGCGACCATAAAAGGAGACGACTCAGTTTCCAGATTAAAATGATCACTAAAATCGCTTCTACCCCGCAATGTGCAACCTGGGAATACTTTCATCAGTTAATTCGTTCCTCTGGATAGATAATCTTCCTCTTTATCAGTGTATACACTGATTGGGGAAGTTTTATCATCAGATCTATCGCGCTATAGCCCTCCTGCTCCACAGTGTGATCGTATTGCCCATCTTCAAAGATGCTGTCAGCCATAAAATCAGAAAATTAGCAGCAAGATTCAGAAGCATTCGTGACTTTTCACTTAGCTTACAAATTCAGGAATCAACCTCCAGTCAGACATACTCAGTTAACATGACAAAAATAAAGAACATGCGGTGTTGCCCAATAGCCGGAAGGCGAGAGAGCTTGTCAAAATATTGCACCGTTGAAGTAGTGACCGTTCTCCTGTGATTTCAGAGATTTTTTTGTGCTGATGACCACTTAATTCATTACCAAGCTGCGATCTGTGAAGTATTCAGTGACTTCTTTGCCACTTCCATGGTTCACAAAGCAGACTTTGTACCTATCTATGTAGAAGTTGCAGTAACGAACCATTTAGGCAGAGTCGATAACTCACCCAACGGTATCCACCAAGTTGTCAAGTCAATCAGGCCATCCTCCAAGCTAGAATCTGATGGGATTCGACCAACTACCAGTAAACTTGGAGGTCCTGATATACCACTGATCTTGATGAGTATGTTCACAAAGGAGGTCCCAAACAAAAGATTGAGAACTAAAGGGCAATCCACCACACACTAATAGATGCTCGATTATTTGAAAACCCGGTCAGAAAGATAGCGAAGAACTTTGTCAATACGTTGCGCCTGATAAATAACTCGCAGCATGATTTTTTCTGATAAGTGATTGTGCAGTATTTGCAAATTGTAGCACCTGAACTACATCTACACCTATCGATTCCGGCAATGAAGTAGTAACTATATTGCCGAACATTTAGAAGCAGTTGTCTTGATCTAAATGCTACAAAGATTATATTCACATGGAAAATCCATCGATTAACTATGCCAAAACGGGCGCAAAAACATCTAAACAGCCACGGTTCCAGAACTTGGTCTTCGCCCTAACCAGGCATCAGAACGTAGTTATATGGATCGTATACGTAATATTCCACCTATGCATATCGCTCATGTAAAAGCATGGATACTTTTGTACAAATTGATCTGTGTCGATACAGTCTCTCGCAACAGGAGACACGTGTTATTATTATTATTACCCGAGATGACAGATAATATCGCATAAGGCGATTATCGACGGAGAGAGAGAAGCAACAATTCCGAGGTTACCCCAGTCCTCTGCGCAGCATTAGTACGTATGACAGTGGACGGGCTTTGAACCAGTCAAAAAGATCATCGTTGTAACCAAAACTTAACCTCCCCAAACGCTTGCTTTGTGAGGTGGTAGTCTTTGGCACGAAGTTCGGTGAATCCGTGGGGAA